AGGTAAACTTGAGAATACTGTAGCAAAACTCTCAATGTAAGTACTATTCAAAAATATTAATAATGCCTGAAAAGTTGAAGTGACCAAATGGATTTTTAAACACATTGTTATGTTTGGAGATTTTGGGATAATAAATTCTTACATCCATGGAGGACAACACACACAGATACATAGACACAGATGTATTTACTTATGAACAAGTTACACATAGGTATTAGTTTTAAAAATCCTGTTTTAAGGAATATTTATCACCTGATGTTTCCTAGAAATTTATTTAATATGAGCATTATTCTGGTTTCTTTGTATATAAGTTCTTGCATAACACTCAATGGCCTATGAGAATTCCATCCATGTATGAGCACAGATAGAGATTATGTAATGGTGATGATTATAGATTATAGATAAAGTCAAGGTTCCTCAATTGATTTAGACACTACTTGTATGATTTATGTAGTGAGTCCTAAAATTTTACTAATGAAAAAAAGATTCTGGAGAGATTAAACAAATAAAATTAAAAACATTGGAATGAAGTGTTTCTTCAGTTGTATGCTAGCAAATGAGCATGTAGTTTCACTCCAACATTAGTTCTGAAAATTATACTAGGCAATGGTAGACATAGAATTATACAAGATATTTAAGAAGTTGCAATTTTCTGTGCTTGTCATGGGACTGGAAAGAAATAGTTTCACCACATTTCCTTTAGTCAGGGATAAACAGACTCCCTTCAGTACAGTAAAGGAATGACAAGTGACATTAGGCTGGTCTTTCTTTGTTGTTGTTGTTCCCTGCCTTCTTTTTTATTGTCAGACATAATAAATTTACTAGAAAGGACTGTGTCCACAAAAGTGACGGATTTTCCCCCTAGGAAATTCTGCCAACATCTTCATAGCACTCATGAACTTCCTTGACTGTATTAAGAGAAGACAGTTGTCCTTAACTGATAAAATTCTAATTGTTCTTGCCTTCTGTAGAAATCATTTGCTCTGGGCCATCTTAATGAAATGGCTCATAAAGGTGTTTGATGGAGACATATATAGTGAGCAAATAAGTTTTATTGGTCTTGTTGCTTGGGGTGTAACCAACAATTTTAGCATTTGGCTTGCAACCATACTTAGTGTACTTTATTTGCTTAATATAGTCAACTTTCTATTTCTTTACTTCAAGAGGAAAGTTGAGGATGTTTTTCTTATGATGCTCTTGTGGAAGTTGCTGGTTTTAGTTCCTAATTTTGTGGTGATGATTGTAAATGTAATTGAGTGAGGGGTGAGATTGAAGGAAACCTAACTCGGAAGAGCAAATGGAAGGAGAATGCAGGCCTTCCCAATGTAACTTTATTAATGCTGGTAAACACAAAGCCTTTCATTGTCTCACTGACCTATGTTCTCTTGTTGATCTACTCTAATCTTCTAAGGAATATGAAATGCCACAATAAGGGATACAAAGATCCCAGCATCATGGTCCATGCAATGTTTATGTTAATGACAGTCTCCTTTCTCCTTTTATAAGCCTCATAATCTCTGTCTGTGCTCATACATGGTTGGAATTATCATCAGCCATCTAATTCCTTAGTCTTTTTATTTTACCAGAATACTGGAATGGCTTAGCCTTCAAGTCATTCATGTCTTCTGATCTGGGGAAACAATAATAAGAAGCAGGCCTTTTTGTTTGCTCTATGGCAGGTAGAACAATTGCTGAAAGAGAAAAAAAGAAGTCTACAAGTTTTTAGAACAATAACAAGAACACAATGTGCCTTCTAACAATAATCAAATGGATAGTCTATAGAATCAATGGATAGAGTAACAGTATATGCTTTCTGATATTTCCAGAATATATTATTAACATATTAATATGTATTTAACATATTATTAATATATATTAAAATGTGTATTTAAATAACTTACAAATTTACCTCTAAAATAACTTTTTCCAAAGCTTTCTTAATAAAAAGATATGTGCATGTATGGACAATATAAGAAGAGTAGTGAATAACATGCTCTTTATTGCTCTTTTTTTTTTTACAGACAACCAAAGTATACAGAGAATTGTAGGAAAAAAGAAAACAAGAATTAAGAATACAAGTATTTTTCACCTATGTGTTATGTTACCTTCTACCTGAATTTTATACTATGTTTATGTTATACATGAAACTATATTTCAGGAAACAATAGGTACGTTCAGATGTATTTTAAAATAATATATGTATGAATGTGTGTCTAGATTTTAGTGTATCAACCATCATTAGATAGCAGGAATATTTAAAATCCAAATTATATATTAGATATATATGATTGAAGTAGACTTTATTTATTCAAAATATGTCTTTCACTTATAGTAGAAAGTAAGGAAAATCTTATAAAATTCAACAGTGATAAAAATAAACCAAACTTAGTAGTTATATACCATAAGTAGTATGTATAAATATTAGACTTAATACATGATGGGGATGCCCTTCTGTATATGTTTCTCTTATTGGTTGATGAATAAAATAATGTTTGGCCAATAGAGACAGGACGATAGGCATGGAAAAATTAAAAGCAATAAAATCAGGAACAAGACAAGGATAGGATGCACACTCTTTCCATATATATTCAATATAATAGAGCTATGAACATCTGATCTTTAAAAAAGAAATTGGAAATAGCTTATATGTCTCTCAACAGATGAGTGGATAATGAAAATGTGGTACATTTACACAATGGAATGTCTATGACATGAAATTCACAGGCAAATGGATAGAGTTAGGAAAAAATATCATCTGCGGTAACCAAAAGAAAAAAAAAAGAAAAAAAAAGAAAAAAAGATATGTATTCTTTTATATGTTGGTGTTAGCTTTTAAGACTTCAATAGGCATGCCACTACCATAGAGGTTAGGTATAGAGTAAGGATGGGGAGAAAATGGCTTTCATGAGGAAGAGGAAATAGAATATAGTTATGGAGAGACTGGTGGTCAGGAGGCTGGGACAGGAAAATTAAATGAAGAAGGAGAGAAGGGAAGGAATAGAGTGCTTCAGCTAAAACTACGGGTCATTGAAGGGGCATATGGAAACCTGCTAGAGTAGAAGGTTTGTGTGTGTGTGTGTGTGTGTGTGTGTGTGTGTGTGTATGTGTGTGTGTGTGTGTGAATATACACAAATGAATGAAATCTATGTGGAGTCACCAAATAACTGGGAGACAAAGCTCTAACTAGATGTCTCCTGCCACCAAATGAAAGCTCCAGTTTGAGAAAGGGAGTATATTTTATTGAGTTTTTGGCCAAAGGAGCTCCATGGAAACCTGCAAACAACTCAGCTGTCACTGCCTGTGGATTCAACGTGGTGCTCCTAACTCAGGAATTGACTTTTAATTTCTTTCCTAGATTTAAGTTTTGGTGACCATCACATTGTTATTCTCAGCATATGGAGAGGATTCTTTGCTTAGATGATGCTGTTAAGGTAGAACCCTCAGTGTGTGGAAGACAGAGTGGCAGAGCTGTGATGGGACTCCTCTGCCTGTGTAGCTACTGATGAGTACCAAAGTCCTGTATCTTCCCAAGAATCAGTGATGCTCCCTATGCCTGCTCTTTGCACAGAACCTCGCCGCCCCATGGTAGTTTGCATGTCTCTGGCTTTCCAGAGCTCATCTGACAGGAGCTGTATCATACGGAACCACCTTCCTTTTGGTAAGTTTTTTGTTTTGTATTTATTTGTTTTTATTTTGGTTTTCCTGAAAGATTTCCAAATGTTCTTCTACTATACCTATGTGTAAGTATTTGTGAGGATTTACAAATTAGATTGGACTCATTTACTTTGCTCAATATTGTTGCAGGAGAGAAAGGATTGGCCAGTCTCCCACTCCATGTCATCGGGGCCACCCTGTCTTTACAATAAATTTTTCTGCTGTCTCTGGAAGTAATGCTGAGCTCATGTGTTTGTTTTCTTTGTTTACCCTTTTCCTACTGAGGAGGAAAAATTCTATGATCCTGCTCACTGTCATGTAGCCTAGGCAGCAAATCATCCTTATCTACCTTGGTTCCTGTAATGATGATCACTAAATAGATGTTTGGGTGAGGGGTGATTGATTAAATTTGCAGATCCTTCATGCTAATAAAGTGATTTGTCTTATTGGTAAAGAGAAAAGAGGCCGAAACAGATTCTTTGTATATGTGCTGATTTACCTCTTTGACTACTTCAAGAGAGGACAAAGAAACTTCCACCAATTTTCACATGAATAGAGCATACAACTTAGGTTAATGAATATTTACATTTAATACTCCAAAATGTGTTCCTAAGGTTCTCGTCTAAATAATACTTAATATCAGTATACTAAGTGTGCTCCAGTTGTATAATGAGTGAAATAGCAAGCTGAATTTTTGCACTAGAGAAAGAATTTGGCACCAATAAATGTGTATTTATGTGTTTGTGTGAGTATACATGCCTTTGTGTGAAGTGCAGTGATCAGTTAGTATTATCCTCAATATCAAGCACTTAAGAAGCCTTGATTTCAGCTGGATTATTAGGTTGCAGTCCATAACTAACACTTGAGTAACATACACACTTGTCCTTGTGCGACCCTCTTTTGAAGAGTTTAAAGAACCCTTTTGATTACAAATTTTCACACATTAGTACTTCCTATATTAATTAGAATATTACTTTGCCCAACACTCAATTATCCAGATAAGAAAACATGTTCAAAGGCAAACAAAAAGAGAAACTAAATATTGTTTATTTGCATGTTGGCATACAATATAAAAACAAAGTGTTTCCTTCACTAACAACTAGAGACGATTCCAGAATCCTAAAAGATAGTTAGTGCTTTGATGAAGTTTCTGTGTGGTCTGTCAGTCCAAGATTTCCCTGGGGAAACATGTGGACTGGGTCACTAAGATTTTGGTGCTTGTTTGTGTAATATTACATCTGCAAGTTTTGAAAGGCATACAATACATATTTGGAAGAAACATTGGATGAATATATTAACAAATCCTCAGTAGTGACATCAGAAATTTGGGCATTATTTTACAGACAATGGTTGCTATCTTACGGAGAATATTTGGGATCATTTTCAGTGTGAAATTCATAATGGGAACCTTAGGAAATGGATTCATTGCTCTGATGAACATCATAGACTGGGTCAAAGGAAGAAAGATTTCTTCAGTAGATCAAATCCTCACTGCTCTGGCTATTTCCAGAATCACTCTGATTTGGTTGGTATTCATAGATTGGTGGGTCTTTGTGTTTTACCCATCATTACAAATGACTGGAAAACTATTAAGTACATATTTTATCTCTTGGACAGTGATGAATCATTGTAACTTTTGGCTTACTACAAGCCTAAGCATCTTTTATTTTCTTAAAATAGGCAACTTTTCTAACTTTTTTTTTTCTTTACTTAAAGTTTAGAGTTAAAAATGTGGTCTTGATAACCTTGTTAGTGTCTCTATTTATCCTGTTCTTAAATATTGTACTTGTAATAATATACTCTGATATGTGTGTTGATGATGATCAACGAAACGTATCTCACACTACCAGACTGAGTGAGTATGCACAAATTTGCAAACTTCTTTCATTTACCAACCCCATGTTTTTACTTGTACCCTTTGTTATGGCCCTGGCAACTTTTCTTTTTCTCATCTTCTCTCTGTGGAGACATCTGAAGAGCATGCAGCACACCGCCAAAACCCACATCAGAGCCTTGCAAACTGTCATTGTTTCTGTACTGTTTTACACTATTTTCTTTCTGTCATTTTTTTTTGTGTGTGAAAGTTTGGAGTTCTGGGTCACAGGAAAGATTCCTGATCTTTTTGTCTGTCTGGGCTCTGGGAAATGCTGTTCTTTCTGCTCATCCATTTGTTCTGATTTGGGGAAACAGTAGGTTGATGTGGGCTTCACTTTGAGTGATGTTGTAGCTCAGATACAGGTTAAAAACATAGAAGCATAGGGTCCCAGACTATCTAAGGAATCATTTCACATGTCCTAAAAGAAAAGCAAGAGACAAAAAAAATTCATACAAAGAAAGAAATTCATATATTGTAAATAGTTTGCTATCAGCAATTGTGAGTTAAACAATGGGACAGTCTGGAAAGGCACTATATAACCTTTATTATAATCCTAGACAGACTAGGATATCAGTCCACTTAAATGGAGATGTCTGTAATCACTTTATGTGCTCTAGTGATTCAGAGCCAAGATCCACTAATAAGAGAAAACATGAGGTTTTGTCTTTCAGGGTCTAATTTATCTCACTCGGTACATGTCCAATTCCACCCATTTACTTGTAAGTTTTATCATATAGCCTGAAGTAACCATGGAAACCAGGAAATAGAAAAAGAACATGGGGGAGGGGCAGGGAAGGAACTCTGGGGGAGGACAGGACACAAATACTGTGGTGTCAAGAAGAAAAAAATAAAATAAAACACAATGGAGGGACTTTTCTTGGTGTAAGAGGAATGAGAGATAAAAACACTATGGATGTTTGAAAGCCATAGAGAAACATTATTTTTAAGCTCTTACTAACAAAAATACAATAGAGTTGTATCACGCCGGGTGATAATACTAAACCCAAGGGACATAATCTACCTAACAAAATTCCAATGTCAAATATGAGAGACATTTCTTAAAATTGTTGTTCAGGGGAGTCCCAGAGGCTCCCCCCAAATATAGATTCTTTTCATTACCTTTGGTTGCTTCCCAGAACTTGAAGTAAGCTTCCGTTTTTGAAGCTGTAACACACTTTAGATATAGGACTCAGAGGAATCGAATTGGAATTGTATTGAAAGCCTCCTCTCTGAAGACTGCTTTTGTAATATCAGAAGGTACTGTGCAAGCTGCCAAGGGAGGGAAAATACTCAACAGCCCCACCCAGATTTGAAGCCTGTGAACCATAATTATGATTCACTCAGAAAGATATCCTAAATGCTGTGATATCAGCACTTATTTCTTAAGGATAACCAATAGCTTTCTAATTTGACTTATAAAGTCCATTCAGTAGAAGGTAGTGTATATCTGGCTCTGTGAAATTAACCAATTACCTGTGGCTGGAGAGGTCACAGGCTTGATATGGGAACCCACTACCACCATGCTTCTAAACTACTCTAGTTTCTATTTGTATTCTAAATAATTAGACCAATAGAAGAGCATAGCTTTCACCCCTCATCATAGTCTTTTTTTTTTTTTCAGATGGAAGTTACTAGATAGATCCACAACTGATCAAAGGCAGAGTATAAGGGGCCATGAGTTACTCAGCCCCAGTCAGTGTGTCTACAGTGCAACTCCTATGCCTAAGGTTCAAGGAACACTAGCGAACAGGTAGTGGAAAGATTTTAAGAGCCAGGTGTCCAGGATACTTCATGCTAGAAGGAGTCTTTTAGATGTGAAAGGAAAGCTGCACCCATTAAATCTTAACAACGTGGCCACCTGAATAAGACAGCAGTTGGTGTCAACATAAACGAGGGACATTCACAGGCCCCACTTCTACATGAAGAGCGAGCTACAAGCAATGGACGCTGCTAAGAGAGGGGGAATCAGTTTCTCCAGGGATGAATCCCCTACTTGGCTATCTGATCCTAAGTACTCAGTGTGTGAACACACACACACACACACACTCGAATGAATGAATGAATTGATCATAAATTTGAAGGACAGTGTTGGGGGATGCTGGAGAAATTTGAGGGTAAGACAGCGGAGTGGACATGACCGAGTATTCATGTGAAATTCTTCAAAAAAAATTTTAAGATTATAACAAATAAATGTCTACAGTCATAAATATTATGAATTTTGTTCAGGAATTATTCTTTCAGAAATGGTAAAATTGGAAACTCATTAAAGATATTTATGAGTCAATGTGTACCTTCATGATTAAAAATAAACAGATTAAAATAGCTAAAATCCTAGCATGAATAAGGAAGTGGCTCATGAATTCCCACCCCCTATTCAAGGAGCTATTGGCAATTCATGCCTTTTTGGGGGTAGTCAATTTTGTTAAGAGATGTGGCCCCAAGCTCCAGAAGATTGTCCCACACAGGAGCATATACAGTATCACTAAGTGGGGGTCAATCAGAAGCAAGGGATTGCTATGTGGGTTTGATCAAAACATATTATGTGTATGTATAAAATGTTCAAACAATAAAAAGACACATGCATATGTTTTAAATTATGCAATATGTAGAAATGTCAAATAACAAATGGGTTACAGGACCAGGAACAAGTTGGACCCCAATGTTAGACAGCATTCATGAGGACAGTAGAATAAACTGGAAAAGACCTATGAAATATTTCTGTAAATTTGTATGTATTTTCTATTGTAGATGATAGATAAATATAAGGATATTTTGTAGCTGCCTACTTTATACACAACAGTTTAATTTGACTTAAAAAGACTTTAATCAGGGGCTGGAGAGATGGTTCAGAGATTAAAAGCACTGGCTACTTTTCCAGAAATCCTGAGTTAAATCCTTAGCAATCACTTGGTGGCTCACAACCTCCTGTAATGAGATATGGTACCCTCTTTTGGTGTTTAGATACACATCTAGGCAGAACATTGTATACACAATTTAAAAAAGACAAATCAGTTAATGATTTTGGTTCTTTATTTCCTTTTCTGTCTCCTTCCTCCCTCACTCCCTCTCCTTCTTTTCCTTCCTTCCTTCCTTTCCTTTCTTTCTTCCTTTCTCTTTCTCTCTGTCTCTCTCTTTCCTTGAATGAACCCCAGGCCAGAACAGTTTCCAAAATGCTATTTTAATGTGATTTCTCCAGTAACCTTAATAAATTAGTAATTTTTTAAAAAAATATTATGATAGCTCATAGTCATATTTTAGTAGGCTAGAAAGTTTTCAGAGTAGAAACAGTCCCTGGGTGTGTTGGGGGTGCTGACCTATTACTATTTAACTAAATTGTCATTTTGTCAAACTGTCTTGTAAATATCAATAATTGTTCCAATGTCAACCTCAGTCAGAGAAGCTTTTCCTTGCCTTAGTCAGTGGTTAGTTCAGACTCATAACTGGCCAATGTTCTGAGAAAAAATGGCTATTGGGTACTTGGTCCTTTATATGGGACATTTATGCCATCCCTTTCAAGATTTATGAAACTTATGACAAGAACGAATAGAAGGAACATAAGAGCAGAAAAAATGGGAGATGTGTGTTATAAATTATCTTCCATATGAGCATAGCATTACTGTTGCACCCATGAACTCACAGTCACAGTGGTTACCTACATGATTTCCTCACAAGACTAGACCCATCAAGACTCCATGATGGAGCTTGTAAAGCCCTCCTCTCCTTGAGGAGCTAACTGTAGCAAGCTGATGGTGTTGCTACAAGGAGGGCAGGTCATATTACTCAGTGATAGAGCCTCTGAAACATTGTAGCTTAACTAAATAACATCCTAACTACAGTCCTCCTGCAAACAACTCCACTTAAAGACAGGCAGAGAAGCAAATGAAGTATAGGGAGGACTGTAGAAGGGTTGCAACAGGAGAGAGAAGGAGAGAAGAGAATATAGGAGAGGACTTTGATCAAATATCACACACATGATATAAACCTGTTTATGTGTGGGATGTTAGCATTGATTTTACAGCAATAACAAAAGATACATAAGAAAATCAGTAAGTTTCATAGAAGATTAAGCGTGTCAATCTATCCTGTGCTCAGTCTTGTTATGCCTTCAGTAACTTGGGACGTTTTAGAGATGAAGAACGTTTTCTTTATGACTTGTTTTCTCCAACAAATTATCCTAGAAATCAGGTATTGCATTCATTATAGATTTACTTTCTTCTTTAAGGTGTTTATTAATTAATATATATGCCTCCAGGTTAGCATCAGCTGTGAACTTGACACAATGCAGAATTTTTCAAGAGAGTCTCAGTTGGGAGGTTGCTATGATTAAACTGACCTGTGAGCATGTCTGTGGTGTATTTTCTTTGTGTCTAGTGTATGTGGGAAGACCCAACCTAATGTGGGCAATGCCATCCCAGGCAGGTAAGCCTGGGCTATGTAAGAAAGGCAACTGAATGTAAGCCAGAGATCAAGTCAGTCAACAACATTGCTCTGTGATTTCTGCCCCAGTTTCTGTCTTGATTCCCTCAGGGATGTGATCGACTGTGACCTGGATATTTATACCGAGAGAGAGAGAGAGAGAGAGAGAGAGAGAGAGAGAGAGAGAGAGAGAGAGAGAGAGAGAGATATCTTTGCCTCTCCAAGTTGCTTCCAGCTATGGTGTTTCTCACAATGGGAAAGCAAGCTAGAACATGGTGCATCATATTTTTCCCTAGAGATGCTATAATAAAAAATATATGCTATAAAATAAGAAGTGTATGGGGCTGGAGAGATAGCTCAGTGCTTAGGAGCACTGACTGCTCTTTCAAAGGACCCCGGTTCAATTCCCAGCACTCACATAACAGCTCAAAACTGCTGTAACTCCAGTTACCTTCACACAGATATACGTGCAGGCAAAATACCAGTGTACATAAAATAAAGATAATAATTTTTTAAAAAAATAAGTGGACATATGCAATTTGGAACTACCCAAAGCATATATTTTAATATTTATACAGCAAGTCTTAGTTACATTTCTATTAGTGTAAGAAGACACCATGATCATGGCAACTCTTATAAAGAAAACATTTAGTTGCAGTCGTGTGCTTAGAGTTTCAGAGATTCAGTCCATTTTCATGAGGATGAAGAGTGTGGCAGTGTGCAGGTCGACATGGTGCTGGCTACATAATGACCGGAAGGCAGCAGGAAGTCTACTAACTTACTGGAAATTTCAAAGCCCACCCCTACAGTGACACACTTCCTCCAACAAGGCCATAGCTCCTGATAGTGCCATTCCCTATGATATTATGGGAACCAATTACATTAAAACTGTCACATTCCACTCCATGGATCCCATAGTTTAC